CTAGGATCTGAGCTAGATGATTCATGGGAGATTGCATCTTGGTCCCAAACCTTTTAAATCACAGGAGAAAGTGTCAGAAAAACTGTAGAATTACATTAAGTTGGTATGGCTCAGTAGAGTCTAATTTTTATGTATTCAATAGTTATTGGACAAGCAGGAGTGCAAAAGAGCAGAGTTTCTCTTAACTCAGATGTGCCTCCTGGGCCAGAAGGAATCACCCTCTGAGTCCTTTGTCAAAGGACATTTGTTGGTTCAGTAACTATATAAATGTCAGTTAGAAAGTGATGACCTTAAAATTTAGAGTGAAATTAGAGCCTTATCATGTCACCTAGAAAAGTAAGGGCACACGGTGATGCCTTAAAATAGGTCCAAAGGCCCAAGAACCTGTGTCAAAGAAGATTGGCTGTTGTTGCTGTTCACGGGATCAAGACATTGCACTTGCCTTTTAAAAATTGTCTTGGAGGGCTGACACGGTGGTGCCCTCCCTATGGTAACAATGTCTCGGAGGGTGGATGGTGGCATGGTGGTGAAATACAAAGCCACAGGGCTGGATCCACATGTGAAGTTCAAATCCTGATTAAAGTCTAGATACTTACCTGAGAACACCAGGCATGCATTGGCCCATGATTCTGAGATGGCTAAAGGCTGAGGTGGGTGATGGCATTAAGATCCTGTGGGAGGTGCTCTCTGCCTGTTTTGATCATGGAAGAAATAAATAAACTTTTAAAAAAGTACCTTGAGGGACCAGCAGTTAGTGTAATGGCTATGTCGCTAGACTCCCACATAGTCGACCGCAGTTCATGCCCCAGACCCGGTGGCTTAAAACTCACGCCGGGCGCGTGTGTATGCATGCCCGAGATCCCGAGAAAAGAACGGAGGAGAAGGGATTGCGGCATGGCCATCCCCTCTAGGGGGTGATTTCTTGCTTTCTGTCTCTCTGTCTCTCTCTGTCTGGCAAGCGCACGCACCCTATAGCACAAAAAAAAACCTCTCAAAAAAAAAATAAATAAAAGTACCTTGAAATCCCCCCTCCTTTTCGAAGAAGCAGAGGCTTCACCACTTCATGGGAGCTGCAGTACGAGTCCTGGCTTCCTCTCTGTCAGGGAGACTACTATTACCTGCTCTCTGAGGAATGAGTAAGTGTCAAAGCTGGCCAAAGGAGAGCTGCTGGGGAAGATGAGATCAGGTGGAGGCTGAGGAGCTCACCCTGAACCACCTGCTTGAGGTCTTGATGGTGGAGTGTTTCATCAGCCCCTTCCCATTTCCCTCCCTTGATTGTGCCCAAAGATGCAGGAGGTATTGGCCACTTGAGCTGATGACTCATCTGTCTTAAGGGCTCCCTAGTCCTTTTTTTATGAGGACACACAAAAATTCCTGCTCAACATTGACCCTATGCTCACTGACTTTTTTTTTTCTGTCTCTTTTTTTAAGAGATGCCAATTTGGCAACACTTGGGAATGCCTTTCCTCTGACTCAAATCTTGGAGGCTTTCATCCACAACCCTACACAGCTCCAGGGCAGTTATTTTATGCTCCTTACATTTAGTGTAATTAGATGGATAGATTTGCTAAGCTGCCCAATTTGTGGAAAGTACATTATTCCTCCTGTAAGAGCTCAGGATGGAGCCAACTGTCCAGCTCTGATATCTCATGGGAGATGTAAATGAGTAGAAGGAGAAGAGCAAAGTGGATGAGGATGGGGATGAAGAAACTGTGTGCTTGCAGGGATGGAGGCCAGTTGGGGCTATTTTGAAATACCTGTAAATCGCTTAATACCTTTCCGTCATACCAAACTATCTTGAGCAGGGCTGGACACTGCAGTTTCTCACATAGTCTTACTTTAAGTAGGATATTTAATAAATGTTGGCATACTTGGCTGTTTATTTGAGTGCTAATCATTATTCAGAAATGATTCGGTGAATGCACCACTCATGTTTGCGTTTTCTTACTTTTGCTTCAGTTTTATACCAGAATAAACCTGTTTAATATTCTGTTTTAAAAGAGAGAAAGGCCTGGTGATTAAGGTGGCTGGATCTCACATAGCTTTCTTTATTTCCTTCCTTCTTCTTCTTTTTCTTTTTCTTTTTTTTTTTTTTTTTTTTTTTTTTTTTTTTCTCTCTCTGGGG